CAATTACGAGTATATGTCACTCTTAAGGAATTGAATAAGGGTTAAACATGTCTTTAAAGTTTCCTCTATTGCACAAGAGCATCTTACATGTAAAATATATTTAATAACTTTAAAGCCCAGCAATTTGTATTTCCATATGAAACTTAAAAAGGAAAAATCGACTTCAGTATATCTTCAAATTATGTGTACTTAATTTGTTCCCCGCATTCACATATGTTCAATAATTTATTGCTATTTGTTGTTTTTGAAAAGTTCAAAATTTTTAATCCTTTTATGCCAAACATTTAATATTTCATTATTTCGGTCTCAGATGCTCTACATTTTTCAATGGATTTTGATTTAATTATTGTATTTTTGATAAATGTGTTTCACATGAAAAGAAATTGAATATATGATATATATTATGAAAAATTAAAGCTTTTAATTTGCTTTTAAAAATTTTTAAGTATTATTGTTACTATTTGACTATATAGTATTTTGACACCAGTTACCACTAAGAGTTCATAAAGTAAATGTTGTATTTGAAACTAGTCCTTATAATAGCGTTAGTAAATTTTTTCTGAAAAGTTTGGCCTAATACTTGTCCTCCTAACTCTTTTTAGAATATTTATCTTATATTAAGAAAAAATTAATCACTTTTAACGATAGAAATTCATTCGCAGTTTTAGTTTACTTTGCAAACTTTTTCAGTTCAATCATGTAATAATAAACATTAAATACATACATTAAACTAAATTAAAGACAATATACCAACTAACAGCACCAACAAAGAGAAATAATATAAATAACAAAAAAAAAAAAATAATAAAAAACTAAAATTTAAAAATTTTAAAATTTAAAAATGCTACTTAACTGCACTCAAAACACATAATTAAAATCAAAACAAATTTTTGGAAAGTATTATCAATATTCAAACAAAATTAAAACTGTTCCAGAGTGTAATTGAGTTGAACTTAATTCATTGTACAATTTGTTGGATTGTTCAATTAAGACAATTAAGACAATTAATCTCTGATTAACAAACTGAGGAAGTCTGCTCGAATGTAATATGCCCAAGGTACTGAACAGGTATTATCGGAGTTTTTGTTAATAAATATAGAATAGTATCAGAAGCCTGAACAACGATTTGTTACATTAAGATTTATTTTAAGTCTAATAATTGGAAAGTCCTACTTATATATATTATTAAGAAACAAAAAATTTATCATTGAAATATATAGAAAAGGAAAAGTCTAAGAACTAAGTCTCAATATAACCCAGCAGGTAGTATTGTTTCAGTACTCATTCCATACAAGTAATAACTGCGGTCTATCAGTTAAGTGACTGAATATTATTATTAAAATTCTTTTAGGATTTTTCCACCAATTTTCTTATGTGTTAATTTATATACCATAGAAATAACTGAATCTATTGTAATTTTCTCCATTTATTCATGATGTATTTGGTCATAGATTGCGTTACGTGTATGTGTACAGTGTGTTACTAATTATAATTATGATTTTGCTCTTAAACGTAATTACTTTTAGAACAAGGATACTTTTTTATCGTATATAAGGCTGTTCTGAAAGTAAGGTCGTCTTTTTTTTATAAAAATGCGTGGCTGTTTTATAGTGTCCATTCATTTAGCAGTATCGTAATTCCACTCCTGTAAGATTTTTCTTCGTTGCTGCCAAAAAGCTGATTCAGTTGATTTTTTCGTATGATCGCCTTATTTAGAGCGAAAAAAATTTTGTAGGGTCAAGAATTAAAAATTTTCAGATAGTGCCAAACCTGAAGAATATGGTGGCTGTGGCAGTATATCGCATACAAGCTGTAAAAGGTTTTGAAAAATTACTAAATTTGTAAGGAGTTTCGCTATATCTTTTTTTTTACACTAGAAAAGTCTAAGAATACTGTATGTTTTTTTTACCAAGTAATTCTGGCACTTTCTGTTTAAGGGAATCATTCAATTTGGTTAAGTGATGACACATACTTCAAAATTGATTGGTGTATTGTCCGGTAAAAGCTTTAATAAATATTTCTTTTGAAATCCTTCTTAATCTTTTTGACTCAATAATCTTTTGCACTTATCATTGTAGAAGACAACCCATTACTTTTTTAAAGTGACGAAGCGTTTTCTTAACCTCGATCATCGACTTTCTCCATAAACATCGGATATTTATTTCTAGTTTAACAGGATTTTTACTTTTTTGATAGTAAAAAGCAATATATGTATGTCTTAAATACTGTTCTTTGCTTTCCATATTTGAAATAGCACCAATTAAGAAGTTCTGTCCAGAATCAATAGAGTTTTTTCATAAGCTGGCCTTGCTATATCTACTGTCAAAATATATAGTTTTTATGTGATTTAAGTGTAAAGTTGGTTGTCACAAAAAATACAATTAAGCTCTTTGTTGGAAACAAAAATAATCTCTTTTTGTACGACCCAATACCTTCCGGATTTTGTTTTTTGTTAACTACTCCTTAAGTAATAGTCCTTTTTCAAAGATTTTTTTGTTATGTTGGTACACCCTTTCTTAACATGTGGTACAAATTTGAGCGCCATCTGTCAATAAATTTGTTTACAGCAGCTGTTAACGTGAGACTACCTCAAGTGCATTTAGCGATTTTTACTATGGAAAATTCTTGTTGTACGTAATTTTTTGACCAAACACGGCACCACTGTCATCGCTCAGGCACCATATTCGCCAGATCAGGATCCGTGCGACTTTTTTCTGTTCCCGAAACTCAAATTGTCCTTTCGTGGTAAGCGTTTTGAGTCGATTGAATAGGTAAAAGAGAATTCGCCGAAGAAACTAAAAGCCATACCTCCACGGGCCTACGAAAAGTGTATGGAAAATTGGGTTAAGCGTTGGCATATGTGTATCATTTCAGAAAGAGTATATTTTGAAGGAGATAAAATAAATGTGGAATAAAATTTAATTTTGTGTTTTATTTACAAAATCCGGGTACTTTTTGAGCAGAAGGTATTTCTTGAAGACTTCAATAAATATGTTACCGTTATTAGTTATTTTTTATAACTCACATTAACATTGAAGTTATATTTTTGGATTTAATGCGAAATCAATCAACATCAATCGCATTTAATTTTGTTTGTTTTAAAATATAACCGTATTTTTCTGAATTCTTTATTCACGCAGATGCAAAATATTCACATAGATCTAGATTGTATTTTGATGTTTGTTTTTTAGTTGTTTAGTTTAAATTGTAAAACAATATATCATTTTTCGATATTGAAATTATTTTTCACGGTTTGTACCCATTTTTCTCTTATCTCTTGTCATTATATCCATTGAATATTATGGCAAATGTTTGCATTTTTATACAACAAATCGATTGAAGGTAGTGAGATAGATATAGTATGATGACAGGTATATCGTACTTAAAGCTGTAGTTCAATTTTGTAACTCTAAGTTATTGTAGTGTTTTATCAAGCAGAATCATACTGATAAACTTCGAAAATTTGCTTCTGAATGTTGTCATGTTGAACATAATTTAACTATTATTAGCTATATATTTTCTGTTATTACGGTTAATATAGTAACATTACTTTTAATTTTATTGGTAAATCCTATTTGAAATAATAAAAAATTTACGTTAGCTTAAATTAAAGAAATTATCTTGTAGGTGTCGTAAATATTATTTATTTACTTTTACTTACCTTTTAGTGACTTCAAGTGTAAAGCTTCCGTAAAAAACTAATTTAAGCAAAACAATGAACAATTTCATGCATTCGAATTGCAAATAAAGTAGACAATAAATCGACAAATTCTTGCATTCCTGTTTATGTCATGCAGAGGCAATTCATATAAATTAAAGTGCCATAGTGCCATAGTGCCACACCAGCCATTGTGTCATCTTAAATGTCAATTGAAGCACCCTCGCTTAGATGCTTTTTTATGGTGGCTGTAGTCGAAAACTGCACGACCAACCAAAATAACTTGCTAAAAAGCACCTGAAGTTACTGACTGTTGTTGTTGTTGTTGGAGTATCTTTTTTATCTGTGCTTTGTTGTTGCGAATTTTTCTCACAACCTCAAGTTAATTTAGCAAAAGCAGAAGGAAACGCATAAAAACAGTTCCAATCAATAAATTTCCTTTACGTAGATGCATGCTCAGTAGTGCAAAAATGCTACACAATCGTAACAGAAATTGATTAAGGACTTACATTCCTGCGGCTGATATACGGTGTGAGGTATTTACCATACAAACACACAAATTCCCTAAGCTAAAACCTTAACCAAGCCAGGCTATCGATGTCCATTGAGGTGCATACTTGGGCGGCTGTGAGAGATGGCATGGGTAGCAATGACATTGAAGTGGCGCATTGCACATATAAAAAACAATTTCGTTAAGGCAGAAGTAAAGGCAAACTACTTCGATTGTGTGGAATTACATTTTCTGGAATAAAAAATGAATAAAAATCATAATAAAAAAAATGTCCGTATGTGCCATGACAATGGAGTGACCATATGAAATGAAAGTGGCCATTATGAAGTTAAACTACATCGTATTTTAGAGAGTGCTTAGGTGTGTGAAAATAATGTTAACCGTTGAGCAGTGTGTAGTGGGTGTTAAAAGGGGGAATGGGATATGTAACATTGATCTCAAGGCTTTTAGTTGTAATTCCAGAATATTGTATGTGCATTTTGGGTTTTTTTCTGCCTTCGATTTTCATTTAAACGGAAGTTTAGGTTTTGTTTATGTGACATAATAAATCATGTACAATGTTTGGGAAATCACATTTCAATGTATATCGGTATCGATAGCATAACATATATACATTTTATGACAAAAGAATTTATAAGAAATATAATTTATAGAAAGGAGAACTAATGGATGCTTTAATATAACACCATTACACAATTAGCTTTTCAAGAAAAAACAGTGGTTTCCTTTATGTTATGATTGTTTTAGTTATTTGTTTTATAAATGTTATCAACACAGTTCAAATTTGAGTTCCTTTGACAACTTATTGTTGTGCTATATTGTTTATTGTAGACCGACTGGTGATACAAGAATGAGGATTGAGTGGAGCCCGATGGATAGCAGAAGAAGGGGCAGACCTGCACACACTTGTAGAAGGCGAATTGATATAAAAATGTTACACATGCGGAAAAGCTGCGGGAAAGATGAAGCTACTAGCTAAAAATCGCACCGAGTGGAAGATCTCCTCCTAGGACTTAAAGGATTCAATATATATATATTGTTTTTTACAGTTACAGAGTAGAATATACTGTGATCTGTACTCTGAATCATTAAAATTCTTTTTAATGATTTTTAATGATTCTTTTTAATGCCTATCTATTCGTTGGAAACGATTTCGAGCATTGTATGAAGCTGAAAAGCTTTCAGAGACACCTTTTTGTGGTCTGGTCACTAAATTCAGTGGTGAAGCCATGTGCTGGATGTGTATAATTATTATTGATCAGTAGACTAGTCATATTTAATCATAATGCATAAAACTTTTATTTGACATATATAAATCAATATATTCATACATTCATTGATTTCAGATATAAATATATATCGAGCTTATAATTATAAAGATAATGTTATTAAGCAAACAACAACAGTATATAGGATCTATTTTCGACAGATTATCTTTTACATCACACACGGACCAGGTGTCTACACTGAACGAATATGTGGCAATTAACAATGTGAAGAAAATGGTCATTGGATTTTTCTTTTTAAGAGGGGATAACAGATAACAATCAAATGACTTACTTCTTCCTTTATAGTTCCAGATCTTAAAATATAATTTTATTAGCAAGTGGAGTATTTTTGTTTGGAAAAAAATAAAAGGCTGTATTTCACTTTCCATTATTTATTTTAATTAATTTGCTTGCAGTCTTCGATAATACTAGAATATTAGAACAGATAATGAAGAGAGTACCAGATACGGCATAGAATATTACCACTACATAGTTCATTCCAAACAACACTTTGTTTATAAGACTTAATAATGACAGCCTATTAATTTAAGTACAGAAAATTCTTATCAGTGAATTTATTTTGTCGTAAAAATAGTTTTTATGACTAAGTATATTTTGCTTTTTGTTTTTTTTAATTTTTTTGTATCTAAGATATTTTAAAATGTGTCGTCGTGTAATATGGTGACGAGGTAATAGTGACGCTTAAGTTTTGATTATTCGGAGATCTTTATAGGCAATATAAATATAAATTTTGTTGCTAATTTATTTAATCTTGAGTAGAATTCAGTAGAAACCCCAAGGTTTGTTTTGGTTATTTTTTTAACTCGCGACTTCTATTTCTTAAGTTCAAGTTGAAGGTCTTGTAGTGTCACTAAACAAATTACTCTTGATCTCTTCGATATTTATTAGTAAACATATTAACTCGATTAAGCGCTTAGCGTAATTTTGTTTTGAATATATTAAAATAACTTAAATAAATATATTTAAACATGAAATTTCCAAAAACCGATCAATAATGAGTCATTATCGATTTATTCGACTTGATAAATGTTTTATTTACATGTGCAAGCAATTTTGAATATTTTGTTCTAATATTTTTATTTAAAATTAAAAAATCTGTTGTTTTTGTAATCTTAAATTAATAAATTTTAATTAGTTATTAATTCGAGTGTGTGTTATTTTAAGCAATCACATAGTATTAACTTTGCAATACTAAGCCCGTTTGCTGAGCATCAGTCAGCATGAAAAACGGGTTTCCAAAGAGCCGGGCTTGTTGTGGAATAATTTACAAATTTTTGGGAATTTAGAATGAAATCGGAGGCAAATTAAATGATTGATTTAAGATAGTCTCATTTTGTGGCTTAGAGCTAAAAAATACGGAAATGAAATTTTCTATTTTTATGGTAAATTCAGTATTGTTTAGATATTTTTTATGTTACTGAAATGGATGCGTAATCTGTGTTAAAGTTTGTTTATGTCACAACAAGTTTGTTTTGTTTGTTTGACTTTGGGTGTTTTTGAATTTCCAAACAAATTTTGTGTATAAAAAGATGTGAAAGATTTTGTGAATGGAACAGTCTTCAAAAAATTATTGAAGTGAATTAAAAGTAACAAACGAGTAGTAAAGATGCGTTTTTTTATTGTATTTGCCATCATTGCAGCCATCCTGTGTGCTTTGGCTGTAGCTGAAGAATCAAATCAACAGGAATGGATCAGAAATAAACGACAATTCGGTTTCAATCCTTACTATGGAGGTGGTTTCGGTGGCTTTGGTAGACCAGGTTTCGGAGGTGGCTATTACGGACGTCCAGGCTTCGGTGGTGGTTTCTATGGAAGACCAGGATTTGGTGGTGGGTTATTCCGTCCAGGATTTGGATTCTATGGTTAAAGATATATAGGATCTAGTACAAATGTTG